GAATAAAAACCCCTCACCAGCGCGAAATTGGAGGTCACAGGTCAAAGGGCAGTGGGGAAAGTCAGATATCAGACATTTTTGAGGACATGGTCTAACGACCGAGTGCAAAACTTTTGTTTCAGTGCTGACCTACCATTTCTATCACTTTATTGAAAGGACCATGAAATGTACTTTCTGCTGACGTGCGAAGAATAAGTGTCTGATAACCTTTGACGCCTCAAAGAAGGAGGGTTAAACACGGATTTGTTGACTGTTAACAAAGGACTGAACTGCTTTTGCTATGAGCCCCCTCCCCCCACCCTCCCCCACTACCACCACTACGCTCGCGCTCGACGCATATCCATGATAACATGTTAATATAGCGAAGTCATTAAAGTTACACAGCTGTATCTTTATTATTGTACTATCGGTATAGCAAAGCGTATCATAGATTTTAGATCTGTATTAGTAGTATCCTAGATATCTGCTCTGAGCGTGAACGCGGTGGCGGGAGGGCGCACTTGATTCGGTTGCCAGTGAGTTTATCATAAGAATACCCGGCTACAGTACACATCAGTTGAGCACTGTCGCTCTGCGGCACTTGTTATCATCTAAACAAGCTATCAATTAATCTTTGCAGGTAACAGGCAATCCTGAGAACGGCAGTATTGAATACGTTGCATCACTAATGGTAAGTGTAGTATTGGCAGCTAACAACAGTACTTTTTTCCTCGTGCAGTGTTTTCACTTGATTTCTTGTGACACTGATCTGTGCTTATCGTGTACGTCGCAGGCAAGAATAGGCCAGTTAGAGACTGATGCTGACATCACAAACAGTTCGCTGCAGTCAATGAGCAAGTTAGTCGAAACATACAGACGGAAAGAAGCACTGGCCAGGGCTGAGGTACGAGTCAACTAATCTTTTGTTTGCTTGTCTTCGTAATGTGAAGGGAGGAAAACTGAATAATCTAAGTTGTTCTTATATGATATACATACTGTCAACACTGCATATAAGGGTTAATAAAGGGAAACACCAAAAGTGACCTTCATAGACATGTGTCCATTCTATATAGGGAAATTTGCTGTATAACTGCTATTCAGGAGCAGAAGTGTCCCTTATAGACCGCTGTCCATTCTAGAAAGATATCTGCTAACACAGTACAGTGTTGACTGTACTTTTGTATTTTGTGACTTTTCACACTTGCCTGCCTTTTAATAGAAAATTTTAGAGTATGACTACATCACGATATGGTGTTCAGGACAATATTGCTAGGTTTGTCTGCATGCATCATCACGTCAAATAATTGATAATACGAATGCTCCATCAAATAACGGATGTCTATAGTCACTAACAGTGCTCAAATTTCACCATGGCTCTGACAGCGATTGCTGTGGTTGCCCTCATTACTTCCTTTATTCCCTTATATATTGGGTGCATATCCCTTCGAGTCCAACAGTGTTGATAAAATGGTACTAACTTTGGGTACCCCTGTAAAGGAAATGCTTGCTTTGGAAACCCTCTTGCAAGGGGAAGTGTTTGTCATTGTGTATCTTTCCGTGATGCTCTACCAGTTAAATCCACGTTAGCACTTGTCTTGTCCTAAAGAATTATATATACATATAGATACTCGCTTACTATATCCCGTTTGTCTCGCAATGGGTGGTCCAAAAGATAATAGAAGAACACGACGTTTCGTGCGCTACTGCGACACTTCGTCAGGTGATGCGGCGACGTTGCGCGTGAGGTTATATATATCCCCCGGTTGGATTGAGCGGTACAACTGCTGGACAGGCGCTGCTGTGATTGGCGGTCTGACGCATGATGTTTCTTGCGCCGTGCCCGGCCGGCTGGCGCCTGCAAGTTCCCGCGTCGAAATCGTCTGGCTAGCGTTGGCTGTAATCTCACCTGTTGTGGGTCATTATTTTCATGAATTGACTTGCTGCTGCATATAGGATCAAAGGATAGCAGAAGTGCTAGGAATGGGTCTGATAGGCGGCAGCACAGAGTCAGCGAGTGCAGCTCTTTACTTACTCCAATCAGCCATCAGTCCAGTGCAAAGGTATAATAAGAAAAAGTCTATCAAAATAGTGTGGGACAGAGCCGGGTGTGCCTCATTGCTATTTCTGTTTAGTACTGCAGGGTCTAACTATCAAATCGTGGCCTGAACTTGATTATGGGTGTACTGCTGTGTGAAGTGGAATTGCCTACACTGTTCTTGTACCTTCTTGCTCATGTGCAAGCTTGCGATGTAAGTGGCAATGGTTGAACGTATGAGAGCACGTGAGATCACCTACAATATGTATAGTTGTCAAATACTTCCATAATACTTTTTATGTTTGTAGGAGATCTGAAATAAAGTCGCCTTCTTACAAGACGAAATAACGAGATGAAGATTTAGTAGCAATAGTCTAGCTGGAAGGGACTATTTAACTGTAAAATGTGTCACTCTGTTAAATACAAGAGATGCAGACATGAAATACTGACCAACTAGGATTACATTTCAGATTTCCCTCAACTAATATCGTTGTTGTGTTTTTTGGTTTTTAGTCTGGCTGAGCAGTTGTCACGCATGGAAGCCAAGCGAAAGACAGATGCTAACGATGTAGGCAAAGGAACCTTGCCAGCATTGGGCAGTGGTGACCTTACACAGAAATTTGAGAAACTAGCTGTAAGCAGATATCAGAGGGTACCACTAGCTGTGACTTATAACGTACAATACACCTGATAATACAGTACACAATCTATTATCTGAAATTCTGAAAACCGAAAAGCTCCGAAAACCAAAAGCTTTTTCGTGGATGTCGTCTGCACACCAAAGCTCGCGTGTGGTGCCAAAACTCGATCCGACGATTATTAATGTGTTTGGCATTCATTACTCATACATATTGTACTGTACCAGTACAGCACTTGGTCTCTTGAAAACTTGGGTTTTAGAATTGGTTAGTCACAGAATATATGGTATGTATATCTATCTGTACTGTACTACCATTCCGAAATCCGAAAAATTTCGAATTTCGAAACGTGTCAGGTCCCAAGGGTTTCGGATAATAATAATAGATTGTGTGTACTGTACCTACCTAATTGTACAGATGGTTAAAGAAATTTTACCTAATAGCAGTGGTAGTAACAGGTGCTGCTAGCTAATTGAAATTGACTGGGAAATATTAGGGGTTACAAGTGCAAATTATATGTATTTAGCTCAGCTGACGAAGTCAGATGCAGCTTGTAGAATTGCATGATTGTCCGTGCGTCCGTTCGTGCGTCTGTCCGTGCGTCAACAGTTGGGCACAAATCTTAACCGCTTGACGTACGGTCTGGATATTCAGAACGTCGGGGGGGGGGACTCGGGATGTCGAATTTGGGGGTCAAAGGTCAAGATGTGTCAATAGAGGGGGAATATTCCCCCCTTAACTTAAGGTATAGGAGGAAATACGGAATTGCGGCACAAATATCAACGGCTCGACCTACGCTCTTAATATTTGATGTATAGTGTGCGTGGGAGGAAACCCCCACCAGGCGCGAAATTGGAGGTCACAGGTCAAAGGGCAGTGGGGGAAAGGCAGATATCAGACATTTCTGAGGACATGGTCTAACGACCGACGTGCAAAACTTTTTTGTTCAGTGCTGACCTACCATTTCTATCACTTTATTGAAAGACCATGAAATGTACTTTCTGCTGACGTGCGAAGAATAAGTGTCTGATAACCTTTTGACCCTCAAGAGAGGGTTAAACATGGATTTGTTGACTGTTAAAAAAGGACTGAACTGCTTTTGCTATTTGAGCCTCTCCCCCCTGCCCCCACCCTCCCACCACCACCACTACGCTCCGCGCTCGACGCATATCCATGATAACATGTTAATATAGCGAAGTCATTAAAGTTACACAGCTGTATCTTTATTATTTACTATCGTATAGCAAGCGTATCATAGATTTTAGATCTGTATTAGTAGTATCCTAGATATCTGCTCTGAGCGTGAACGCGGTGGCGGAGGGCGCACTTGATCGGTTGCCAGTGAGATTATCATAAGAATACCCGGCTACAGTACACATCAGTTAGCACTGTCGCTCTGCGGCACTTGTTATCATCTAAAACAAGCTATCAATTAATCTTTGCAGGTAACAGGCAATCCTGAGAACGGCAGTATTGAATACGTTGCATCACTAATGGTAAGTGTAGTATTGGCAGCTAACAACAGGTACTTTTTTTCCTCGTGCAGTGTTTTCCACTTGATTTCTTGTGACACTGATCTGTGCTTATCGTGTACGTCGCAGGCAAGAATAGCGCCAGTTAGAGACTGATTGCTGACATTCACAAACAGTTCGCTGCAGTCAATGAGCAAGTTAGTCGAAACATACAGACGGAAAGAAGCACTGGCCAGGGCTGAGGTACGAGTCAACTAATCTTTTGTTTGCTTTCTTCGTAATGTGAAGGGAGGAAAACTGAATAATCTAAGTTGTTCTTATATGATATACATACTGTCAACACTGCATATAAGGTTACTAAAGGGAAACACCAAAAGTGACTTCATAGACATGTGTCCATTCTATATAGGGAAATTTGCTGTATAACTGCTATTCAGGAGCAGAAGTGTCTCTTATAGACCGCTGTCCATTCTAGAAAGATATCTGCTAACACAGTACAGTGTTGACTGTACTTTTGTATTTTGTGACCTTTCACACTTGCCTGCCTTTTAATAGAAAATTTTAGAGATGACTACATCACGATATGGTGTTCAGCGACAATATTGCTAGGTTTGTCTGCATGCATCATCACGTCAAATAATTGATAATACGAATGCTCCATCAAATAACGGATGTCTATAGTCACTAAACAGTCTCAAATTTCACCATGGCTCTGACAGCGATTGCTGTGGTTGCCCTCATACTTCCTTTATTCCCTTATATATTGGGTGCATACCCTTCGAGTCCAACAGTGTGATAAAATGGTACTAACTTTGGGTACCCCTGTAAGGAA